AAAACAACACAAAATATTCACCCATTGTTAATAAATGTAAAGTTATGAAAAATTTTTCTCTTGAAATCGTTAATTCAATTATGTGACGCTTACATGTTTCTAATTTACCTAAACAAAGACCCTGACTACTTTTAGTACTCTTCTACTACCACTACAAAATTTTTAAATTAAATAAATTATTAAATATAAACACACATTTTGCAGTACGTCTTTTATTTGGAAATTTAATGTAAATTAAAAAAATGAAATTGATAAATGTATACTATAGTTTACGCATTTTAAATTAACTATATCTCTTTTTGATAAGACTCGGTGGTTTGGTTACTTTTTATTTTTCTCATTAAAGCACACGGTTTTTTTATTTGTATTTAAATATTTACATAAAACTATTTAAAAAACAAACAATATGTGATCAGCTAGAGAAGTCCAGAAATAATTTACATTAATAATTAATAACACTCATTAATTATGTGTTTATTTTAATGCTTACTTGTCAAATTACATGTTAAAATATGTTTAAATATAATTGCATAAACGCTTATTTTAATTCCTACGCACATAGCCATGCAAGCGTGTGAGTTCACTTGAATGCTTACAATTTAAAAACTCACTCACTCGCTCGGGCTTTTGAACTTCGAGTTTGAAACCATAACTTAATCTGGCGAATCGTCAGGCCGGTTTCATGCGCAATACTGTCCTTTCCTTTATTATAAAAATGTACTCGTTTTTGCTGAATTCCCACTCTAAAACGTGTAGTATTTCATTATCGTATGATACACGGTGAACGTCAGGCGTATGAACGAAATCTTTCGCATTCTTTATTTTCTTTTTATTTGCTGTTTTCATTTTCGCCATCTAACGACTTATTTTGACCTAACGACTCATTTGGCATATTCTTCAAATCATCCGGAAGATCCTTCAAATCATTTGGAACATCCTTCATATTATCCGGAAGATCTTTCGAATTATCCAGAAGACTCTTCGAATCATCTGTAAGATCCATCAAATCATCCGGAATATCCTTCAAATCATCCAGAAAATCTTTCAAATCATTTGGAAAATCCCTTGAATCATTAGAAAGATCCTCCAAATCATCCGGAAGATCTTTTAAATCATCCGGTAGACTCTTCAAATTATCCGGAAGACTCTTCAAACTATCCGGAAGACCATTCGAATCATCCGGAAAATCCTTCAAATCATCCGGAAGATCTTTCAAATCATCCGGATGATTGTTCAAATCATCAGTGTTATGATTTATGTTACAGTGTTTGGTCAAATTTTTCTGAGGTTGAACTGATTGTTCTTCATTTGGAAGCTGTATTAATTCCCGAAGACAATCATACATAACAACGAACTCGTTACTCGACTGTGCTGTAGTAGGAAACACCGTGAAATTACTGAGTGTTCAATTAAGCATCGAAAATTTTCAAAAACGAAAATTATTTTCAAATTTATTATTCATAATACCACTTATCTAAGACTTGTCACACCATTAATTACACGGAAGGCTTAGTTCCACTCGTCGTAACAAAAATTTATCAACCGCTTTTGATTTTTTACTCGTCTTCTATATACAAATAAATTTTTTCAATCATAAACATCAAAAACTAAATAAATTTAAGAAACGTTTAAATGTTTCAACAAACTTTTTTCAAATCGATCAACTAAAATTCAGTCGATTTTTCTTATTTAACGTAATTTCCGATTCGTGTTTGAAGTTGCCTGCAACAACATAACAGCGCATGAATCCGTTCACATTTTTCTTCTATGTCAAATAGTTCTCCATGGATAGTTTTTAGGCTTCTCCTCGCTAAATGGATCCAAGTTGCATATTGTAATACCTAAAAACGTTATGTTTTGGCCAGTCTTCAAAAGATAAAAATTAAAACTTTGTAGTAATTATGTGAAGCAGTTGGTCCAGAATATAGACAATTGTTTTTCTTTGTTTGCCAGAAACTTCTTGCGCATAAAAATTTTCACTCGTATTCAACTTCAAAAGTTCTGATAATAATAATAACAACAATTATTATTTACTAATAAAATTAACAACAAAAATAAATGTATTAGTAACAGCTGTATTAGTAGTAGTATTAGAAGCGTTAGTAGCAGTAGTAGTAGTAGTTGATGTTGTTGTTGGTGGTGTAGTTGTAGCAACAGTAGTAGTAGAAGTAATAAAAATAATTATTATAACCATAATATTAACCATGGAAAAATATTCATAATATCATTTATCTATAATAGACTTCTCGATTAGGTAGAATGTTAGGAGAAATAATTAATTGCATTAATCATTTAACCAGATACGTACACGGATTTTTGCTATGCTAATAGGATAAACAATAATAAAATAATAATAATAATAGTGGTAGTAGAAATAGTAGTAAAAGTAGTAATAATAGTAGTAATATCAGTTGTATTATTCTTATTATTATTAATGTAAATTTTTTGACACGCGTTTATGAATGAATGTATCATGCGCGTGTGTTGGTTGGCTTGGCGTATGGAGTGGTTTGGTATGCATGCTGGTATAACGCTGTATAAACTGGTTTTGTATTCATGCTGGTGGAATGTTATGGGAATGGGTTTCATGTGAATAGTATGGCGAGAGTATAGTGAGTATATTTGAGAGTGAATGGTTGTTCGTGGGAATTAACATATAAGTATTTTGGAAAATTCTTTTCTTCAGTTTTTTTCGAGTTTGGTTTTCGAGTTTTAGTAATTTTTCGAGTGAGTTTTTGAGTTAGTTTTTGGTAGAGTTTTTGGTGTAGTGATTGGAGATAATTCGGTTCCTGGCGTGTTTGGTTTTGGTCATTTTAGTAATTGGTGAGATTGTTCTGCGGGTTTTTTTTCTGACTTTAGTTACTGTGTTCTGTTGCTGTTTTAATTTAGTTTACTATTTAGTTTGAAACATTTTGGAAACATTTATTTTGCAGAGTAATTCTATTTGACGCAGACTTGTCTGCGGATTGTCAGTAAGGCCGGATTGACCGACTAGCAAGCAGGGCTTGAAAGCACCTGCCCGGCCCGTGTTTTCCGACCCGGAAATAAACATTCGTGAGGAGGCGAGTTCCGGTCAAAAACGAGACTGCCTAGGCTGGCGGCGGCGTTTGCTGGTGTTTGAACAGAGAAAAAGATTACGCCGCGTGGCAAAAATTCACACTATTATTAGTAGTAGTAGTAGTAACAGTAGTAGTAGCCGTAGTAGCAGTAGCAGCAGCATTAATAGTAGTGGTATTATAATTTTAAAAAAATCGAAAAATGTTCATAAAAAAAAAATTAAAATAATTGAAAATTTATTTAATTATGCGAGAATGTACCTTTCATGCAGATAACGTAATGATCTTTTGCTGCTGATGTGCAGGACACTGTTCTCCATGAAACATCGTCGATACTCATGGCTGAGCATTTTTTCTCGTCACCGTAAAAAGTTGTTTCAGAATTTCCAATCCAATTCGTGAATTTCGTGAAAACGTCTAAACGAAACAACAAATTTGAAATTAAGAATTTGGTAACTTTTTGAAAGAGCAATTAATAAAAGAAAGTTTATTAATATTTGAACAATTAAAAGAGAAATATAACCTGGTTCATCCTCCCAATACCAACTAATCTTTGAATATCCCAACCAGTATGCTTTATCTCTATTTATTTTTAATTTACTAGCGTCAAATTTTCCATTAAATGTGAATAAATCTTCCCCTTTCTGTAGACAATAACTTCTTGCATCATACCAGGTTTTTTCACTTTCAACAATTTCATAACATTTTTGTTCATTCGGGCAACCAGCTTAAAATTAGCGAAAACAAATTTTATAATCTAATTAGACAAAGTAGTATTTAATAACTATAGAACAAAACAAATATTTCTTCAGAAACACTTATGAAAATTTCTAGTTTGATTAATAAAATTTGAAATTTAACCTGATTTCGAACACAAAAAACGATTTGGCTTATTCCCAATCATCAAGTTCAGTTTATCGTCTTCAATGAACAAAAAGTTGTTACCTCTTCTCTGTTTAAATTCTACATAATCTGAAATTTTCGTTTTGTCAGATAACCAATCTATTGAATTATATAAAATGTTTGCGTGCCCTAGGACGTAAGGGTTTGAAATTTTATTAAATTCCTGTCAACCCGACAAATTGTTCGATTTTAGGACAATCCTAAAGTTCTGTTAGCTACTTTTCATTTACTTTTTTGCGCGGTTGTCTAGCTGCATAGATATATATTGACGAAAATAACTCTATGGTCCGCGTTAGTTAAATTCGTGTTTAATTTTTCGATATTTTTAACCATAGATCGTAAATAATGGTCAAGTTTCTTTAGTTCAAAACCAAAATTTTTAAGCATGATAGAACAAAAATGTTTTTGTGGTATTCCTATACCATCTTCAGTGTTCGAATTGATACGTTGTTTATGTGGCCGATTGCAAAGGTATAATATTCATATATTCTGTGCCCTTACAATTTTAATTTTTTGTTTGTTTAATGTGAATGTTGATGTTGTCAAATATATCTAAAGAGCATGATCTCTTTTTTGTAAACTGAGCTTATAGGTACGCTCTTTTCTGATGTAGGAAGCAGGAGAACAGAACTAGATAGTCACTAAACTACTCACTAATGCATATAAAAATCCCATGGTCCAGAAAATAATGGAAGGCAAAAAACAAAAAATCTGTTACAAAAACAACAACAACAACAATGCAACTTACAATAAGAACAAAAGTAACATAGTAATATATTACAAGAACAACATGTCAACTGCCTGAAAAGAATCATAAAGATAACGTTCAAGCAACAAACAAAAACGATAGCATTAAACTACGAATATACTACTCCAACCAAAGAACGTTATAAGGCGTTATAACAATATAATGGATTGATTGACCAGACAAGTCTTGTGGGCCGCATTTTGTCTACTATTCTTATTTTATCTTGAATAGCCCCAACTCTAAGTTAATACTTCAACATAAAACAATTATTTGGTTTTTAAAAGCACATAATAGGAAAAAGAATTTATTTATTAGAATTCATTATATAATTTTATCAAAGTTTTGAAATTGCTATTAAAAAATACTAGAATTTAACAAAGTAATAATATAAAATGTAAATGAAGAGAATTAAAAATTTTTTACATCATTACCTTCTGGTTTCAAAATAGAATGCAGTTTATGGTTCTGTTCAAAATCAGTTCTTCTCAAACCAATGAAGACACCATCATTTTTATTCACGTTAAGTTTTGAATTGTTCAAAAAATTGTTAAGAACACTTTGCTGATCTGAATTCAATATTTTCAGAATTTTCCCTCCAGTTGTTTGACAATGCTCACTCGCTTCTTCATAACTTTGCACCATCACTTCAGATCCGTTCGAATACAAGGTGGCTCCCATTGATTCATAGTAATGCTCCACGTAGGCAGAGTCGACGAAAGTGTTTTGAATGAACACGAAAACTGTTTGAATGTTCACAAAAGGAAATTTGTTATTTTATTTTATAGTTAAAATTTTTTATCGTTGTTAATATTTTAGATATGATTTTGATCATGTGATTCACGTGTCTGAACTCAATTTCTATTTATAGGAATTTGTTTAAAATGATTGAAGTGAATAAATTAAATGGTGCGGTGAGAGTGGCTCTTTTTTGTTAAAAGACATGTTGTACAGTAAGATATATATATTCTAAACGATTAACTACTATTTTTGAATTTTGTATTATAATTTGAACAATTTTTAAAATATTATGAGCATAAAAAAGTCAATTATGAACTACGAAAATGAATTGAAAAAAATTATTAAAAAAAAAACCTAACCTTCAAGTATAGAAAGGAAGTTCATTTTGAAATTCAGCAAACGGTTTATAAAAATTTTTTAACGTTCTGGTGTGACATTGTTTGATGTCCCCCTATTTATTCTAATAAAATTATAACAGATATGCATGTCAGTCATCGTTCTCACAATCACCTATTTATATAATTATACTTAACCATCATAATCAAAGTTCAATTAAACACATCAGCGCATGTTCATATTGAGTCACCAGTGAAACTGTATACTGCTAGAAGAAAAAGAATTTCTAAAACAACATAAATAAACAGAGAGGTTGCCAAAGAAAGGGCTTTGGTCTGAAGGTTCTCTATAAAAAAAAAATGTGGGCAAGGTTAAAAATTAATGAAACGAAATCTTTATAGGTTTGTAAAAATTCAGTCTCGAAACTGTTTCAGCCTTCTCCGCTATAATTATGGTGGGCCAAGAAAAGTATCTGTACTGATGACGAAGGATGCTTGCTTGACGAAATACCTGATTGGTTTTCTGGATTCATGAAGACACATACACCTTTCAGTCAGAGAACCTGAGGCAACATCTATTGCTTGGACAATAGGCTTCAATAGATCTACGTTCCGCATTTTTAATAACTTGTCAGCAGTTTATGAACGTGTGAACCATAGGCTATCTACAACATTGACAAAACAGAAATTAATTACTACAAAACATCATCCGTGGAGAATTGTTGCTCAGAATGGTGTGAAGCAAGTTTGTGCTATTGTTTTGAAAGAACGTGATCTATTGGGTCACCTTGGCTGTTGTAGTTGATATTAATTAATATTTTTTAATTTTAAAATATTTTTTATGTCAATGAAATTGCTTAGCAACAGTTATTAAATACTGGTTCAACGTGCCCCTGTGTTCAATACGCCCTGTGAGTGGCGTAGGTTTAACCGCATGACAGGCTTGCAATTATACCCTGCTAGAATTTAATATATTATTTGAGATACTTATAATAATGAACAATTTTAAGAAGTTTTAATTCAATTTGGGCTTGAACGTATAAATCCAAAACTAAAGCAGTTTGTCAACTCATGAAAAGGGCAGTAAAAATGCTCACAGATTTTCAATAGGATTGAGATCATGACTACTTCCTGGCCAATCCAAAAGCTCAATATTGTTTTTTTTAAACCATGCCTTGTGGCATGAAGCACCATCCCGCTAAAAAATAAATGGTTGTCCTTTTGAAAAATGTCACGGGCTGATTGAAAAAGTTTTCGCTAGAGAACTTCTCTACTGTACTTGTTAGCGTTTGTTCGCCCATCAAGCACTTGCAGTCTGCCAACAGAATCCTTCGACATGCAACCCCAAACCATTACACATCATGATGTTTTATAGTGGGTGTAAAACACTCTGGAAAGCATTCCTCACCCTGTCTGCGACAAACATAACACATACAATCCCTTTCTAAAGTTGATATGCGTGTTTCATCACTTCACAACACATTCTGCCACTGATCAGTAATCCAACTATAATGTTTTTTGGCTCAAACCAGTCTTTCTAGACGTCGAGAAAGATTCACGTAACGTTTCTTACGAGAAATTCATGTCCATTTTCTCCTTTTTCGTTCTATTCTCTCCCATTCCCCTTTTTCCCACTCTACATATTTCTTTTAAAAAAAATTTATGGATGGCAGGGAACTCTAAACATTCTTTTGCCACTAATAACTTGAATGATTGATTAATCGGTTTATTAGCAATTGCAAAGTCTATGTTTTTAACAATCATTTTTGGTAATATCATTATTAGCAATCTCTATACTTTTTAAAAATTTCATTATCGCCTCAGAATTAGTTTTTTAATGTATTTCAATATCTGACTTAATATTTATCGTGTCATCATTATTATAATTTTATTATTAACCTGTTACTATCATCTTGTTTAGTTTATTACATCATTATCGTTAAAACTGTTGCGATCAAAATTGCTGCAGTTGACTATGTACTAAGTATTATTTTATGACGAATGATTATTTCTGTACTATCTTAATTCATTGTTAAAATGCATAATTAATAATGATTACGTCGCAATTAATAATTACACCAGCATAAATGAGTATTGGAAGATACAGAATGAGTCGACATTTCAATAAATCATATATTATCAGTTCAAGGGTGGTTTGTCATTGTTAAGTTTTAAAAAACGAAGATTATATTCAATTCTGGATATATTAATAGATTTTAATAATTGAAAACAAGAAGTGAAAAGAAAAGAAAGATTTTTGTTGTGAAGATGATGAGGATGATCGCATCGTACATGATGATGTTCCAAAATATATTTGAAGGAGGTGTTTTTGTTAGAAAACTGAAGTTGATGGGGAAAATGCATTGCGTTCGGTCTCGTCAGAAATGATGCTAATTCTCAGGACTGATATGTGCAAGTTGCTCTGCCTTAAATATAAAACCATCTTCCAACAACATTGAAGCAGATTGTTTCATTAAATAACATCAGACGAGAATTAAAAATTTATTGCTTCAAAAAAGTATTAAATCACAGTTAAATCCTCTGAGGAATACCAATACAGTGATTCAATAATAAAAATAATAACCAAATAACTGAAATTTATATAAATTGTTTGAAAATAGTTTTTAAAAGTTTTTTTTACAAATAAGTATAAAATAAATTTTTATTTGTCTACAGTAGCGTTTAAAATCAATATACCATCTTTCGTTTAGTTGCCACCTAATAGCCTCAGTTGATTTAAAACACGATAACATTGAAAAGTTTGTTTTGAAAATTTAACAATAAATAAGTAAAATGAATAAAAAACTTATTTACACATTTATAATTATATAAATTTATATTAATATATTGTCAAAAGAGTTGTGAATACATATTGCTTACTACGTAGATTTTCCTTATTTCTGGTATGACTGTGCTTGGATACGAGCCCTCATGCACAGAAAAACAGTAGGTTCACTATTCCAAGGTTTCTTTGTATTTGTCGAATCTTTTTTTCAAAAGTCTTTTGAGGTTGGACCAGCTACTCGCCTTTTGAAGTTACTATGCCCTCTATAAACTGGACAAAACAGATGAGGCAGACAACGTTTGATATACAGAGACCAAATCCACCAACATTTCGAACATATGAATCCGGAGAAAGAGCAACAACATTGAGAACTGACCAAGCTTGTAAAAGAAAAAAAGTTATAAATATGTTTCGTCGTGCCTAAAAAGCCCGCCCGATCATGATTCTGTCAATATTAATTAAAGAAACCATATCGGATGAAGTAAAGCGAGGCTGATTATTTGTCCAGAAAAGTGCCGGATTCGGATATTTTTCATCCGACTCTGACACTGCTTATTAGTTGGTGCTAAATTTTAACATATGTGACAAAACGCCTGTCAGATTGTGTGATGTGTAGTCAGACAGAGAATGCCAAACAAATTAGAAACGCACACAAAATTGGTGCCGTGAGACAAACTCGCTGACGGATCAAAAAATGATTACAAAAATGTTTTCTTTTAACGGCGACAGACCGTAAACAAGATGGCATATTAAAATTTTAAAATTTTGAGACTATTATGGAAATGAGGGCGCATGGAATTTTTTAGTTCAAAAGGTGTGCAAGGAACAAAATATTTTAGAAATTTTTGGGGAAATTTTCTGAAACCGCCACGTTTTCCGTGCTATTAATTGTCTATAAGTATAATTTTCATCATTAGATGTATTAAATCAAAAACTGTAGATAGAAAATGAAAATTTTTTAATTTTGATACGTTAGCCTCAAATGTTTTAAACAGCATCACAAAAACAAAACACGAGATTTAAAAGTTAGTCCATCTCTAAAAGTATTAAAAAAGCAAAACCAGTTTCTTTACGAATTGTTTGCTGTCAAAATTATTATTGCATATTAATTAAAATTACTAAACACACATGCAGAAATAAAACACATTTAGTAATGTTTAATATCTTTTAATTAATCAGCTTTATATACACCTAAGCCATATTATACCCTAAGTTTGTTAAAAAAATTATGGAATGTTCGAATAAATGTGTTAAAAAAGTCCAAAGGCAAATTTTCTTCTGCAAATAGTTGATGAGCATGATAAAATCATAATTTAGTTGATTGTGGGATGTTTTCATCTCCATTTTCCTTCGAGCCATTCTGATTTTTATCCATTTCGTTGTTTGGATTTTCAATCTCCCAGCAACGTTTGAAGAGAATATAGATCAGTTCTATGATTTCCACTGCACTCGCCACTGTCACACCCAACCAGAGGGACAACATCCCTCCAACTGTGCCAATCATCATATCACTTGTGTATGCCGGACTATCTGTTTGAAAATAAGGAAAATTTTGTCTCATCACAAAATTTATTTTCACTAAAGATTCCTGCATTTGAGTTAAACTTGATGAAGAAACTTTTGAAGTTTTGTGGCTGGAAGATTTGTTATAGTAACTAAAATAATTAACGTATCTTTGCATAACTTCTGGGTAATCCATGCAACCTTTCCCAATGAAAAAATTCTCAAAAATGTCAAGTTGTATTGAAGGTGGTGGCCAGGTTGTTGATGTTATATAGTATTGATATAACATTTCGTTGCATGGAGACAAACAATTATCTGCACACTCACCAATAATATTGTCCAGATCGTCTTTATAAAAATATTATGATTCAAAAAACGAAAATGATTTTAACTAAAGAAATATACCATATTCCTTGACAAAAAGTCCACAAAGTTTAGAAAAAAGTGTATCAAACATATTTGAATCATTGGCAGGCATGTTGAAAAATGAACTAAAATTTCCACAATATGGTAACTTCTCTAATTCCGAATCCAATAAATACAGCAAATGCGATTTACATTGATTATTTCGACATATGAACTTATGTAAGCAGTTCTCTCTGCACATATTGTACGTGTATTTAATTGAGGACAAATTGTTCATGGTTTGCTGCTTAGTACAACCCAATCTGTAAGTTTTTAAACTAAAGTTTCACATAAATAAACAATGACTTATAAAAAAACAGTGAACTAATAATAAATAAGCAGTCAATAAATTGAAAGAATCTATAATATTCAACAAACTTGTTGTGAGGTTTATTCAAACGTCTTCTTTCAGTTTGAGTAATTTCGACGATATTTTCAGTTCCAGGAGCCACATTGAATCCACGCTTGAGGTCCGCAGGAGTTCCAGGACTGTGCACACTCACCTTAACTCCTCTCGATTGGGAATTCAAAAGGGAAGATTGGTAGGTCATTTTCGTGTTTCTGATTGGACCAACATTCAGCAACAAACTCATTTCCCTGACAAGATTCGAGGAAGAAAATTGTAAACTGCTTGTTTTCAATGTGTAGCACGTTAAATAATTTTGATTCCAGGTTTTTGAGAAATTATCAATGGAACAATTTTTACCCAGTTCTAACCAATTTGCACCAAAGAAACTACAATCTACAATAAAGCTAGGACAATCAGTGGAATTTTGATAATTTTTCTGTAAGTTTATAATGAAACCCGATACGGTTTTCATTTTTTTGAATATTTTTGTGAAAAATTCAAAATTAAAATAATGATTTTTGTCCACTCTGTCCCGTAGTTCTTGAATAAAATTATTTTTTACTTCATCAACTTTTGAAAAATATTCATTCATGGACATTTCTTCAGGTTCACCAGCAGCAAAAGGATCCAAGTTGCATATCGTGATGTCTGGGAAAACAATGCTTCCATCAAACTGTGAAAAAGTCATTTTGAGATATTTTCATAATTTTGCAATTATATCAAAGAATTTTTAAATTATTTCTCAAATTTTTTTTGTAGATAGGGCGCATATATTTGATGATTTAAAACGAAAAGATTTTAAAATACTTTTTGCCGAAATTTGATGAATAAAATAAAGCTACCAAAAATAAAAAATCCAACTTATATTTTTTCAATAAACAAATTTAATATCATTATTTATCAACTTTTATTTATCAACTTGGGCAATTTTTTCTTTTTGCTGATAGCGTAAGTTTGGTAGTTTTTTCAGTTCAGTCGTTATTGCTTTTTAAATTTTGTTTTCTCTGATCTGCGGGTCAACTACAATGTTTTTTGGCTAAAAAATCTACAACAATTTTTCAAGAAATATTTCTTTCCACTGGAAAGGTTAAAGTTTTTATCAGTTTTTTAAAGAATTAAAACACCAGAGGCTTGACCCACAAAGTCAGCACACACAATCATCTTAAATGATAGGCTACGTTATGATACCATCAACTAAATAATAAATATCAAAGAATCAATTTCATCTAACTTTCAAACCTTTCTCAGGCTTTTTTTTATTATTTTCCTTTAAGCATCGCGATTTAAAAAAATGAAAGAAAAGAAAAAAAACTAAACCTTTTCACCGAATTCCGTTGTTATTGTATAAGTGTAGTAGACATCCAACAACTGGTGCAGCCTGTAAACCAGGTAGGTCGTACATCCCAACAACAAAATCGCCCATAAGGATTTCAGGAATATATCGTTTGATTTGAAAAATTTTGATATTCCACGCACTGATGTGTTGTTTCCATATTTTCTTAATTCAGACTTTATGACTTTATTCATTTTGTTTTTAAAGTCTCTTAATTTTGCAACATAGCTTCATTTTCGCCAATCCGAATGAAGTTACATTTCGAAATTACTTTTAAAATCAATGTTTGAATTGAAATGTTCAAATATTTAAACAAAGTATCTCAGAAACAAGTGAATATTTTAATTGAGATACATGACAGAGACGTTCCTCAGCGCAAGATAATGAAATTTGTCATTTTCATTTCCACATCACAGTTGATTACATTGAAAGTATTTTTACAAGATATCCAATCATGAGTGAGCACTATAAATAAAAGATTTTAAACGGTAAATTCCTACTTGTGGAATACTTTGAAAAATGTTTAAAACATAGACTGATGATATAGGCAGTCATTAGACACGACATAATACAATACAATTTTCCATATTTCGTGAAAATCAGATTTCACGAAATTTAATTGAATAAAAATACTCAATTAACAATTTTAATCATTAACTTTTTGAAAATTAATAAAAATTTTTTTATTAAACATAAAAAACAGTTTTACATTTTTGTAAAACTTAATTGAAATTTTAAAAGATTTAACACATGGAAGTATCGGAGTTGGAAATTGAGATCAACAGTTTTATAATTAAAGTTATATATGCTTAAAGTATGTAGCATTAGATATATTCGCACACGCCTAGAGTGCTTTCGATCAACTAATTGCATCGGGCTTCCTGTAAACAATACAGTTATTAATTTCCATAGAAACTTTAGATAAGACAAACTTTTCATTAAAAAAATCTATTTGCATCGCATGGAGAAAATGTGTGAAAATTTTATAGTAATAGTTCAGAAGTCCGGATAACTGAAGCCAACTCGTCAATTAGAAATGAAATTTTTGACTTTGTCTTTTATTTTATCATAAGTAGAATTAGAAATTAAAATTCTAATAATTTTAGATTACTCTGAGCATGGCTTCTTTTTCAAAACTCAACTATAAAATTTTGTTCAAGCGCTCCTATGAAGTTGACGCATAGTTTGGTTGGAACACCCTGATAACAAGACTGTCAGAGTTTTTGGATTTATAGTTAATTGCAAACTACTTTACTACTTTATATTCACCAATAAGATTGTTTTATTTCAAAATTTCAAAGCTGAACATTTTATTTGTTCATTTCAATTGAATAAAATGACGACGCGGCACGCTTCCATGCAATATAAGTGCTTTCTATCTGCTAATCGCCAACGGTGCAGTTTTGTTAGTGTAATTGATTGCTGTGGGTTTTCATGTAAATAATGCTGTTATTAATTTCTATGGAAACCTTCGATTTCACCAACATCTGATGGAATGTTTTAGGACCTTATGAATATTCTTTATTGTTCGTTAAGCCGGTCATAAATATTAATAAGGGCCAAGCTAAATCAACACAGTTTGACACGATCTTGTTAATTATTAAATTGACAGTTACTAAAGTAGTGTTAATTGAATTTGCAATTTCTATCATAAATGCTGTTCTAGGTGTGGCCTAGTTAGATCATGATCATTAGGACAGAAGCCATATTGAAATAAGATTGGCAAAACTTTACATTAGTACTTCAAATTAAAAACGAAATTTGAGACAGTGATGTAATGGAGAGTAATGAAAAATAGGTGTAAAAGTGAATTTTTGTTAATAACGCTAAAAAATTAATTTGAGTAAATTTATACTGATAATTCTAAATAAACAAATTTTTCTTTATGTTCATTTTTTTATTAATTATTGCTTTAGATATATATATATATATATTAAATGTATTTTAATTTTTTTGTTTCCAAAATGTAATGTTACGACATAACTTTTCAATATTAAATGGCTTATTTACTTGGTTATATAGTAAAATTAAAAAATTTAAATTCTGCCGTGACATTTGTATTTATAAATGCATGCATCAAGTTGTGCCTATAGGTGTCCCAAGAACAATTGTTGAAATTGACAAATCAAAAATTATTAAAGCTAAATATCAAAGAGGAAGAAACGTAAATTCTAGAGAAGGGTGGATTCTAAAAAACGATCATCTTCAGCACTTGTTGCAGTTTATATAGATAATTTAAAAGAAATAATATTAACACGTTATTCAAAAATGTTTTAATAAACCAAGTTACCTGTATTTGTGCACACACAAAAATGTTGAGTCTCCTTATTCGTACCAGAACCTTTACTTCTTCCAGAAATTAATTTTCCGTCTTATCCAATTAATAAAACGATGTACCTATTGTCTTCGAAATTGTGTTTAAGATTATTTTTGGTTTTCATAGTTGGTCAATTTAAAAAAACATCCCCATTATATAAAAATATTTTTGGTTATTAAAAATAGTAATTTATTTATGAAGTCTTTTTGTCTTAACTTTGTGGTTGGAATTTTATTCAGTCACATAGAACATTTAAAAATGTTATAACTATATAAATAACCAAAAAAAACTTCAGACAATCGCTTTTCGGATCAGAAACGGAGTATGACACATTTTCCTGCTCCAAATACTTTCTTCTCAAATCAATATAGAAAGCGTCTCTATCATAATAGTCTATCTGTTCAATAAATAAACTTTCTTGTTGTTCATTAAAAATTTTCAGCAGCCTTCCACCAGTTGTTCTACAAATATTACTTGCTTCATCGTAACTATCAACCTTCAAATCTTTACCATTTTTTTATTTAGTGAATTAGCGTTTAAAATTTTAAAATAAATTAAAAAATATTCTTTCAACTCAAGAGTTCTAAATTTTAAAAACTCCGCACCTTCCGGGACGGAAATCCCTACACACGAAAATACACTCAAATTACTTTCATAGCTAAAAACCCATAAAAAGAATCCGCACAAACCAAACAACCTAAACTAAATACACATCACAGTGGTAAGTGGAGCAAGTTCCTCATCGTCTGCATCGGCTCAGTCAGATTGGTCCCCGGCTCCAACTGAGTCTTAGAGGAATTCTTTCTTACTTACCGATTGCAAAGAAATTTTTATTATAGTCGTTTTTGTGTACTGCGGGGTTGTTATGCCTCTTCAGGCAGCTTAAGCATACATATTTTGTCAAATTTTACCCTATTTTGTCTTCTGTTTAATGCGGTTTAACTTTTTCCAAGTCCAAATTATTTATTTTGTTTGCGGTGAATATTGTACAAGAAAAAATAATATTAACAATCATCAAATTCTATTTTTGAGAAGTTTCATTAATAATTTTTATTTTTTATTTGTTTCTTGTCGAAATATCTTCAAATTTTTTCCATTGAAATAAATTTTTTATTTAAAGAAAAAACTTCATTTCAAATTTGTTAAAATAAGCAAAAAATTCACTATTGTAAAAATTTTATCATCTAGTTTAAAAATACTTAACTGAACGATTTTTCATTCAACTTGATAAACTCAATTAAGCTTGAGAAGTCGTAAATCTTGACTTATTTCTTGAAGGGCTGTGTTAATTAACCTTTCTTCTTCTTTATCTTTTTGTTCGAATTATCAACATAATTGCAATAATTACTCTTTTTAAATGACTTTAACTGCATACGATGGCGTTTAGTTTTTGCCAATATTTTCAACGAATTGTTACAACATCTGTTGCTACAAACTTTTTTGAAGTATTTGAAATTTGAAAATAGCTAAAAAATTGTTTTTAATAAATTTGTTAAATATTTTTTCAACTAAAGCAAACATCCAACTTAAATAAAACATTCATGTTTAATATTTACCTACCTACTATTTTTCATACATGAATTTTATATCTCAAAAAAATATAATTTAAAAAATTATAATTTAATATCTATAAAATAGATGAATAAGTTTCATAATCGAGATTTTTCCACTAAAATTACAAAGATTTTCAGTATTTCCATAAAATTTTTATTTAGTATAGAACCGCATCCAGTAATGTCGAAGTTGTTCGTAACGATAATTTGTGCGGTAGCATTTTTAATTAGTGCAAGAAGTAGTTTTGAAAGAGATGACGAAAGAGAGAGTAAGATCATATTGTTTTGTGTCTGTTATAATGTTAATATGTGACTATATAGACATACCTCCAACGCCTAGGAGGATGAATGTAACATTCATCACACTTACAAAAATAAAAACTAAACAAAACAAAAATTAACGTCCAAAAAAAAAACAATAATATTTCTTGACTTTTATATCCTGGAGAGAAAATCGGCAACGTTACGTGAACCCGGACGATAACAGAATTGTATATTATACTCTTGAAGGGCCAATATCCAACGTGTAAGCTTTGAACTTTTTGGTGTCGATTCCGTCAGGTATGTTAATGGATTATGGTCTGTAAAAATTTTGATTTTGGATAGGCAAATCCACGAGCGGAATTTCTGAAGAGCCCAAACTATCGCGTATGCTTCCTTTTCGATCGTGGACCATCGTTTTTGAACATCGGTCAGTTTGCGACTAGCAAACGCAATAGGTTTTTCTTTCTTGTCGTTGCCCCATTGAATTAAACAACAACCTACCGCACATTCGCTTGCATCTGTTATTAATCCAAACTCTCGTTGGTAATCTATGGTGTTCAATACGGTGGCATCCTTCAACTTCTGAATCATCAGATTTAATGCATTCTGATGGTTGGTGGACCATATTATTCGATTCGATGGTGATTTCTTAGTCAACTCGGTGATCGGGTGCATCGTTGCAGCCAGGTTGGGTGTGAATGTTTGAAAATAATTAAAAAATCCAATTAATTTTCGTACCTCTTTTGTAGTCTTTGGTGGTTGTAGCTGATCGAGTACCTGTATCTTTGATGGGTCTACCTCAATTTTTCCGGATCCCACTAGATGACCTAAGAACTTAATTCTCTTCTGCGCAAACCGACATTTGTCTAAATTCAACGTTATTCCGGCATGGGAAATTGTCTGTAAAAAACTTCGAAGGTGTTGGACATGTTCTGACCAACTATTAGAAAACACGGCAATGTCATCAATGTAGGTTTCTGTGAACTGATATATATCTTTCGTAAGTTCCTTCATGGCGCGTGTGAAGGTTACTCCTGCCGACTTCAATCCAAAAGGCATCCTTTTAAATTCAAACAAACCTTCATCGCAAACGAACGCAGTTAACCATCTTGAACTTTCTTGTAAGGGTATTTGCCAATATCCAGATCGTGCATCAAAACAACTGATGAAGTTGGCGTTGCCCACCTTTTGTAGTACGTCCTTTACATCTGGAATTGGAAATCCATCGTTTGTTGAATGTTTGTTAACGTAACGATAATCCACTGCCAAACGTACGCCTCCGTTATTTTTTAACACGCATACCACTGGGCTAACCATCTCACTGTTCGAAGGTACAATGATATCTTGTTCCAACATCTCTTTGAGCTGACGCTTTACTTCCCCCCTGAGTAACTCGGGAATTTTGTAGGCTTTTAAACGTTTGGGTTTAAATCCTTCATTAACTTCAATACGATGTTGCGTTCCTTTAAAAAGTCCTATTTTCGTGGAGAATACGGCTGAGAATTCCTTAATCAAGTCAATCAATTCTCGACTTTCTTGTTTTTCTAGGTCACTAATGTGTATCTCCTCCTCGTTGATTTTTTGTTTGTTTTCCTTCTGTTCTTTTTCATACGTATCTAATACGCCAAAATCTGAATCATTCTCTCGAAGAATAACACAGGTATTGATCATGGCCTCTTCAATTCTTTTATGGAATCCATGAAGTTTATTGGCATGCACATATTTCTTTCCTTCCAACTCAACTAGGTACGAATAAGGTGACTTCACTTTCGCAATAGACGCCGGTCCTTGCCATTGGTTATACCATTTGCTTTTCATCTTCAAGGGTGCGAGCATAATGACCGAGTCGCCGACTTTGAAATGTTTGTCTTTCGTGCGAAGATTGTAATTACGTGTGTAACGCTGCTGTTCCTTCTCTGAATAGTATGCTGCATAATTCTTCGCCAATTCCAGATTGTTTTTAAGATTTTGGAGATATTCTGATCCTCGGCCAACATTTAAAGGAAATTCTCGTTCACCTGTCCAGTTTTCTTTCATCACTGTTAACGGGCCTCTCGGCAACGTTCCATACAATAATGTAAATGGACTTATATGGGTCGTGGCAGAAGGTCGTTCTCTCAAGCACCAAAGTACAAATGGTAATACTTTGTGCCAACTACGTGGATGATCTTTGGCAACCTTGTATATCATCGACTTTAGGGTTCTGTTACATCTTTCAACAACGCCCGAAGCTTCTGGATGTTCGGGTGTGTTAAATCTAGGACAGCACCCCAACCGTTTCAACATCTCCTTTGTGAGTTGACTCGTGAAGTTTGTTCCGCAGTCAGAGCTGATTATTTTTGGAATGGAGTGTGTCATGAATATCTGTAATAAAACTTCACAAGTGGCCTTCGCACTCAACGATCTGAGAGGGTAGGCCATGGGCCAACGCGTGAATAAGTCCACTGCTACCAAAGCGTAATTATATTCCGGTTTAGGTCCTATTTCTGTGATCATCGGTCCAATGCAATCTATCAATGGTAATTCGTCGTTTTGAGGTATCGGTGTGATGGGAACTTGTTGATCTCTTTTAATTGGTGCTCGGAGTTGACAAATCACACACGTTTTACAGTACTGTCGTACCTTTTCTGTCATATCTGGAAACCAGAAATTTAATCCGATACGATAACGCGATGTCTTATACGTCATATGCCCTGCAAATGGGGCATCGTGTCTCAGATGTAATATGGTTTGGATTCTCGAAATTGGGAGACACAATTGTTTTACCTTATGTCCTAATATTTCTTCTCGATGATACAACAGACCCTCTTCTATGAAGAAGTTGTGTTTTCCGGTTTTAGCGTATTCCCAACACCTTTTTAATGATTCACACGCTAGTTGTTCTTCAAGGAGTGTTGATTTTTCAGCAACCGCGCTATCCCTACTTCCCGTCTCTTCTAAATCGGGTTTGTCAACTTCCTGGTCTTCGTCGGTTGATTCTTCTACGTCAGCCGTCGGATCTTGTCTCTTCACTTTTGCTTCATTTACCGACTTCCCTATTTCCCTTTCAACTAGTTGACTTGACGGGGATCCTCAG